ACTGCCCGTTTAGCTCGTTTACTCTTCTCTGATTAAAGACCTGTATAGTTTTTTTGTTTTTTGTTTTAACAGTAAACAAGCTTTCAAGATGGATGAACTTGTTAAAATAATTAATYGGAACAAGGTTGCATGTTACACACGCATCAATTGGATAAGTCACAGAACGCGACTCGCATCTTTAGTTGTTCAATTAGAATGCTCGGGTACATCACCATTGCTAAAATAAAAATTTGGCATTAGAAAATTTACGCTAAATCTACTCAATATCCTCGACACACGTGCTAGATTCACAGGATTCATTGTCAGCAAGACTATTGAGAAAAGCATTGATTTTGTTTTGTAAATTCTTATCCATCATCGTTCTTTCCAAGTTATTTGGGCTAACACATCGGTAATTATGTTCAGTTTCATCCCTTTTATCATCACGTTTCTTGTGTCCTGCCATAAGTTCTGGGAGCTCAGTAGACATGCGCGATAATGACCTTTCCCCCTTCATAGACGAGAGTGTACGATAATCGTTTGTCGCGGCCTTTTGGTTGCAGTTTAACTGAGGACAAGATGTCATTCTTGTTATTGGCTTATGTCTAACTGCAGACCTACATATCTGTCTCTCTATTGTCGTTACTCGTCTTGTCGGTATTGGACTCAACTCAGCATAAGTATTTGCAAAGCTGTTGAGACTTTGGGATGTTCCCATTTTTCTGGTAAGAATTGGAGTGCTCTTTGCTGAAGAAGAAGCACTAGACAAGCTTCCCATTTCAGCCGATAGCTTCTTTTGTCTGATTTGTGGGCTTAAAAAAGGAACAGTCATTTTTTCTCTGGAACAGGTAATATTCTCCGTGCTGGCTGATCTTTGGTAGTGATCACGTTTGTAAAAGATTCTGTCCTGTGACTTTTCATCTCTGATAAAAGTCGTCGCTCCAGTAGGCGTTATATTTGTGTTCGCGCGGCTGGCTAGCTTATAGACGTCTGAGTAAGAGGCTGTCTTTCGTGAATCTAAGACTTAATGAGCAGGAGTTTCTTGGTGGAAATTCTTCGTTATACTACCCGTTGATGTGTTACGGGGGCGGCGGAGAATCCTTTCGCTCGTTTTTGTTTTATTCRCGTTGCTTATGTTTACATGTTGCAGTGAAGATCCTGGGACAATTAAATCTTGGTTGCTTGCTTCTGATATTTCTGTAGAATAAACAACACTAGATTAATAAAATAGAGAAGACGCAAGTTCAGTGGGAGTTTATAACACTCAGTTGTGGAGCATAAACTATTGCATTTAGAAAAGTGACATTATAGATATACCTTGAACAATTTTCCATTATCAAGTTTTGCAGGCATTTTCTGACTAACATTTTTTAAAGCGGAGAAAAGTAAGGGAACCACACCAAGTCAGTGCCCGTGTGCAATACAGTGCTACGGGCTCTCAGCGCCGCAATGCGCAACGTCTATATATGTTTGCATATCTAGGCAGCCAGGTACACGTGAAGGAGACTTTTTTGGTTTCTTGCGCAAACTTTTTTGGTTTCTTGCGCAACTAAAATAGATAGCTAGCTAGAAATACATGCCTTGACATTAACGCTTCATTTATCTACTTATCTTATTTACACTCCAGCAATGGAAAAAAATGAAGAGATAACTAGATAAAAACTAGTGTGAGCGGTGTCGGTGTTTCTAATGAAACACCAATGATAAAAGGGTAAATTATACACCGTGAAAAGATGAAAAAACTTACTGACGTTATGGTCCCTCTTTTACTCCAACGAAGGACTAGCGTCYGAAGCGTCGGTAATTTTTTTCATCTTTTCACGGTGTATAATTTACCCTCTTATCATTAATTGAAAAAAGGTTTATTAAGAAATCTAACAACACCTTTTTGTAAAGCAAGCCTCATACAACAGTTTAACTACACCGACTCTATGAAGTTTGAATGATGTTTGAAGATCATATTTGCCTTTTTATCTTCTTGTTAAGAAATAAGGCTCTCCAAGAATAGTGAATAAATTAAATAAATCATGAGAATATCAATTCTGCAGCTAACAAACTTGTGGCCCTCGTTATATCATCAATTAAAATGTCGAAGCTATTTTGTATCATTTTTTTTCTTTTATTATTTTGAACATATTAAATCTGCAGATCGATATAACTACATAATGTTTCACGACCTTTCTTCTTGCACTGTTGTTAATAGTTGGTAAAGATTACCATCCCAAAGATACCGCCATCATTATTACCTTAACACTCATGATCAACGTGTATAATGATGTTTAATAACCTATTCTTTGCTAACTACTTATTGTTATCGTTACCATCAAGTTTAACTCGCCTTCTTGTATTATAAATAAATTAAAAACTGCAATCTATGATCGTTAACGTTAAAAGTTTTGAAAATTTTTTTATTTAACTTTGAAGAAAAATGACATTAAATTAAACTTCTATGAACGAGCTACAATGCTTTGTGGATGAAGTTTAGCACTATACCTTTTTAATTTGAAGTTCCTTTAAGGTTGTCTAACCATCTTTAATATAGATTCCTCGGGTCTTTTATCATTGATAATAGGAGTTTGGCATTTAGGGGGTCGTATCTCAAGCTGATCATGACTAACTGGGTGCTTGTATCCTTGCCATACATTATTTGTCTCCTTCAAGGTAATRTGTAGATCTTCCACTTCATTTTGAATGGTCTGAAGTGAACGTTTTCATTGTATTTCTATGGATCCTAAAGCACTTCGAAGCAACCTTTCCTCTCTCTTATTAACTCCTCGAACATCGTTGAATCCAAAGGACAGTTCCTTACGTTTTAACTTCCCAAAAACTTTAAACGTTTCCATCCTGTACTTTGCTAGAAAGTACTACTTTCATGGARAATGTGGATACTAGCTGCCAATCGTAGTGATCTTCTTCTCAATGAAAATAATATTGAGTTAAATACTATCTTAGAAATTCAAATATTTATGGCTGTGTTTTCACTAGGACAATTTAAACTAGCTTAATTACGACACCGGAAATAAGGCAAAGTTAAACTACCTAGCAAGATGGTTTAAGTTGTCCTACCAAATAAATGGGCCAATCACAGTGTTATTCTTGAAAGGTGGGAGTCGGATTAAAACACCTCCAGGAATTTTACGCAAGTTAACATTTCTAGTGAAAACACAGCCTATATCTATCTATTCATATGCCGTTCCCTTGGGAGAGTGACGCAAGCAAAAAGACAAAAAGACCTTTGCGTCAACATGTACTGTATCTGCCGACTCTTTTCATTGATTTATGATGACATTCAATCACAGAAATACCAAGCAAATAACGGGAGAAAACTTAACAACACGCAACCAAAAAATCMTATCCCTGCAAACTTTTTTTTCTTGTCAAATATGATAACCGTCACATCACTGAGTAGAGGTTGAAAGCAAACATTCTGTAAGGTTCTTGAAGGATCTAGGTGACTCTGTAGTCTACAGATGTCTTTACCTATTATTATTAATTCACTGAATGGTCATTGACTTAAAGTAATGTATTATTTGTCGTAATTCAAAAGAAAGCTTTGATAAATCCGACAATTGTTTGTCAGCGATTAAAGATTCTTTATTAGTTCGTTATTTTGTCAACTCATCATGAAGCAAATAACATGAACTGCCCACGTTCTCAATTAATCATCCTTCAATGTCAAATCTTTTTAATAAAACTTAAAACTGCCAAGACCATAGAGTGTAAAAGCTCAGGTTCATAGTACAGTTGTTTTTGCTTGACTAAGAAATCAATGTCCGGTAAACCGTAGACAATAAAAGTAACTTTAGTTCCTCATGGAGTGAGCGCATGCCTGCACGTTTCATGTTCGTTTGGCACCATTATTTGTTTAATATGTATATATATAATCTAATACCCAAACAGTCTATCTACAAATAATTTACAAAACACACACAGATACACACAAATAATAGTAAGTTCGTAGTGTGTGCTGGATACTTAGCTTTGGAGATGAATACTTTGAACGTTCATCAATTTCAGTTTTCCAAAAAGGTAGTGATTTGGCCGATCAAGTGTGTCGCACATAACTGATTCTCGATTTTAAAATTCCTTAGGAACAAGCGATAAATGGCCGAACATTCCATTTTGTACTCGGTATTATATCGAGGGTAGATAACTTTATGAGAAAGTTTTTTATGCTAGAGAAACAAAGAGCAAAAGGATAAGGAATAAGGATTGAAGGTTTCTATGAAGCTCAGTTTTCCCACGCATTATTATGAATAACAAGCACCATACACTGAAGGTATAGCAACTGAACTGAACGTTAATGTACTATTGCTCCATTAGATTTTTTTTTTTTTAAATTTTTAAATCAATTTAATGGCAATAAAAGAGAACATAGAGAGAAGAAAGAGCCATATGGATAATCCGTAAAGGAGTCCT